CATATTTTATTCGTATAATATCATTTTAGGTGAGAAAATTATTTAAAAAAGAGTACATTGTAAAAGAGTCATGGATAAAAGTGTTTACATGATATGCAAATTTTGATTTTGCATAAAAAACCATCGATATGATTTAAAACGAATTCTGGCGATACTTGAATACAAATTTGGCAGCAAATGTCGATGGAACTTGATAATAGCCTTTAAAAAATCATCGTCTGGTATACGCTTTTCATCAATAGCAAATAACACAATAAAACGACAGCGCATTAACTCAAACAAGACAATCCAAGTTTGAGGCGTGGGAAAGGACAAAAATCAAATCATGAATTTTAAACATGACATTACCGTAAGTTGCAATTAACAGCGAATTTTTGTAACGTGAGTATTTTTTTACGGAGATAGATTACATTGTCAGTCACTGCTGCGTGGTGTATGTATCAGATTAAGATATATTTTTTAATTGTTGGGTGTAGATACCTTGCACTCAAGGTCTACATTGTACGTTTTACAAGATTGAACTTAAAAAAAAAGTATAAAGAAAACAACTACTGGTAAACTGCTTTTATATCTCGTTAAATAAGCGTTAATTTTAAATTAATTACCGACAAAGTTATAGAATTTTGAAAATTTGAAATAAAAGCACAAGATATTTAACCTGTTCGACTAATGAAAAACGGACGCTATTTTCAAAATTTATTGTAATTAAATTATATATAAAAAAATTCTACTATTACTCTGAAAAATACTTAACAATGCATGGGTCTATATCAAATTTATTTATATACGGAGGTACGGATGTTATTTTTTACAGGTACGGCATTGCTAAAGTGACGATGGTTCTTTATAAACGAAACTTCTTATTGTGAAATTGACATCAAGAATTTAAACAGATGAAAGTACAAAAAGAGAAAGTTCTTTAATTTTTTCTGATTGCACAAATAAAGGCGCTTTAAGAAACAAAGCCTAATTTATTTATTATAAATATCTTAAGAACCGTTTCTGGCATCCTAGACTTTTAGAAGACAACAATACTGTCATTATGAAAAATTGTCCACCCTGTGCACTAATAATTGATGATAATATTGTTACAAAATCTCAATAAATTTTTTATATCCTACACAATATTATTTTTTTATTTATTACTGAGGCCCATACCCATAGGACCCTCAAAACCTGCCTGTGGCTACGCACCTGTTTGCAAATCGTAAAAAAGTAGTTTAAACTGTTTAATGTATACAAATAATTTTTATTGTTAAAATGAATACAATCTTAAAAATTATAATAATAAAATGGCAATGACAATGACTACTAATAACATCTTTTTTTAGTCACTACAACTGGAACACAAACAACGTCATCACTAATATAGCATATAAGGATCAAAAAGGAAAAGGACTAAAATAATATTTTTACATGAACAGGCTCAAGGGGTAGAGTTTAGATTTAATTAGGACCATATGGCCTCCCCCGCTTCGGCCTTTTCAGATCTATTGTTGATATCCTTCTTAATCGTTGTTTAGAGTACCTTTTCTAATTCGGTGTTTTGCAGTAGACTCCTTAGACTGGAAGGTAGTTCTTCGGTGTAGCTACTTGCCCTTTTTCTTCTCCAAGTAAGGAATCTCAGGCTTGATAGACCTTCGCAGTAGCACAATACATGCTCTGCAGTTTCCTCCTCTTCCTGACAGAATCGGCACAAGGTCTCTTCATATGTTTTTTAATCCTACAACGCCCTGTAGACTTACTAGTACTCTAGTATTTTTCCTATTAAGGCTTAGTAGATGCTTGGTGAGTTTAGGCGATGGTCTTTTTAAGAACCCTCTGACCTGTCTCTATCCCGGTGAATTTTTCCACTTCTCCTGAAATTTTTTTTAACATCTACTGCATGTTCTTATCGTTGTCTTTCTGATACCACAGAAGGGTTCTGGACCAATAGGAGCCTTTGAGGCTCCTTCTCGGGCTAGTAAATCAGCCCCTTCGTTGCTCTTATGTGGCTAAGGTTAGTCTGTTTTGACTACCCAGCTCTGTTAGGGCTCAGTGTTGCCGTTTGGGTGGAAATTTTGACTCTAGTAGGAATTTTGGGTGGATACAATATTTTTGGGGAATTTTTAGAAAATTTGCTCCCATCGAGGCTCCCATAATGACTTTAAATTGAATTAATCTTGGATTTCCTCTTTTTAATAAATAGATAATATTTATTTATTACATTAGGTCATTGATGTATTAATCAAGACCTGACACATAAAATTATGTCATGTTTTATGTTTTGAAATGTGACATGTGTTTGTGGTGTTGTGATTTGATGTGATCCAATTATGAGGTTCTCTTTAAGAAGCAAAATCAAAGCTAGAGTATTGAAAATTATTTTCCCTCTGCTCTTTTCCTTTTGATATAATTCAATGTCTGTTGCGCTTTTAGTTAAGGGAGTAGATGCTTTCAGGAGTAAAACGGTCAAAAACTTTACTGTGGCATGGAGTATAAGATTTGCTTTGCCTTTATTTTTAAAATAATTTTTAATAGACGCGTGGAATGTATTTAACCACTAGATCAACTGATGTGTTGAAATTTATTTGCATTTTTGTTAACTAATACTGCGTTTGAAAAGTACCTCAAGCTCCGTTTGCTCCATTGATATGGTTTGCTCGATGTCACATGACCAAAAAATATACTCGCTCTGTTCGAGGAGGTACATTTCAAACGTAGCATGTAATACTTTTCCGGATTATAGTTACATAGAAAACATTTTTTTTAGTGTGGGTGGATAAAGTGGGAATTTTGTGATTAAGTGAGAGGAAATTTTACATTTTCGATTCGGCAACACTGTAGGGCTTCCAAACAGTTCCACACAAGATTTGAGTGTACCTACATATAACTGAGTGCTTCTAACGTCGCTTGACTGTCTGAGTATATGACAATGATTTTTTCACTTACTATCTGTCTTAATACCTCTTTTGCGCAGTGATGTATTGCGACTATTTCTGCCTGGAATACTGTCGCTTGTTTACCTAAGCTCAGTGAGATTCTTATCTTTGGCTTGGTACTATATATAAGTACATATTCCTGAACCTTTATGGGTTTTGGAACCGTCTGTATATCAGGTGAATTCTGCATGAATAGCAGATCCTACCATCCATGCTCGCCTGTCTGGTAAACTTACTTTTGAAAGCTATACTTTGGGAGCATTTCGTCTGAAGACATTCCCATTATTTGGTCGTTCTCCAACTCTTTATATAGCAAACTGCTTATGGGTGATGGACCTTTGTGCAGTCTGTATGCAACAGATCTGGCTTCGCCTTGAATGAATATATGTAGTGGTGTTAAGTTTAGCATGAGTTCTATAGCTCTTGTTGGAGTCGTTTTCATGGTTCACGTGGTACTCAGGCATGATTGCCTTTGAATATCATTGAGCTATCGAATTGCTCCAGCTTACCGAGTCTTTGGCCACCATATCACCGACGTGTAGGTTATCATCGGCCTTATGACTCTGGTATATAGCCATAGAGACATTTTCGGTTGTAGTCCCCAATTTTTTTCACACAACCTTCGACATAATGGTGCTCTTTTGGGTGACTTTTGCAAGTGTTGATTCCATGTTAACCTGTGGTCAAAGATGACTCCCAAGTATTTGGCCTCTTGAGCAAATAGAATCTTCACTGCTTTCAGTACTGGTGACTTTAGTCCTGTTCGTACTTTTCATTTTGTGAGGATTTACTATTAGTTCCTCTTCTCTGCACCACTATGTTTAGAGCGGTTTGTGTGTGCTCCGATATTATACCTGCGAATTTGCCTCACGAAGATCTTCAAGTCATCAGCATACCCTAGGCAGTAGAAGTCTGCAGATCTTAGCCTTTTTACGAGTCCACTGGGATGAGCAGGGATGATAGTACTCCTCCCTGGGAGCAACCCTTGCCTGCTTTAGAGGCTTAAGGGGTAAAGATTACAAATATGTTTACACAGGCAAGCTTAAGGGGTAAAGGGCCAATTTTTTTTGCACGGGCAGGTGTACAGTATGAAGGGGCTATATATTTTTAAATAAATAGACTTGAGAGTTAAAGAGTCCAACTATTTTTAAACATGGACAAGATTAAGCGTTAAATGATCAAAATATTTTTATATAGACATGCTAACTAAGTGGTAAAGTAGCAAATATTTTAGCTTATGGGATAAAGAAGAGAAATATTTTTACATGGACAGGCTTAAGAGGAAAAAAGGGAACACATATTTTTACTTGGTTAGGATTAAGGGACAAAGAGCGAAAATAGTTTTACATGGGCAGGCTTAAGGGTTAAATGACCAAAATATTTTTTATATAGACATGCTAAGTGGTAAAGTTAAAATCTTTTGGCTTAAGGGATAAAGACGAAAAATATTTTTACGTGGACCGACTTAAGAGGAAATTAAGGGCTAAATATTTTCACTTGGTCAGGATTAAGGGACAAAGAGTGAAAATAATTTTACATGGACAGAATTAAGGAGTACGAAGCCCAAATATGTTTACATGAGAAAGTTTAAGGGTGTGAAATTTTTATACATTAATTGTTTAAACAATTTGCAATCCCTACTCAAAAGGCGACATGAAATAGTCCTTAGAAACAAGAGCTAGCAATGTAAAGAACCTCTATATGGTTTAGCCTAAGTAATGCCAAAGCTTCACGAATTTGAAAATTAAACGACCCTTTGTCTTTTGGTCTTTTCTTTTTTATAATAAGGATTTACCTTTGAGATCCTCAGTCTTGATATCTCCGGATCTCGAATTTTATTATTTATTTTTGGTAATAGACTGGATTAAATCAAAAAAATATATACTGAAATTTAACATATTTAGGTGACTAGTGCTCAAGTATAAGCATCTGCAGAGCCCAAAAAAAGGTATAAAAATGGGTTATCAATAAATTTTGACATAGACTTATGTTTATCTGAACTGGTCTTGTAACTCAAAGTATAGAATCACGTGAAAGCTCACATTCGTATGGCAACTTTTAAACTTTTATCCAACTTACCTTCCACTATAAATATTTTCTGTGAGCGGCGAACTCTCGTCGTCCGTTAAGTTATCATCGCTGTAGTTCTCGCTCCGCAGACCATTAGAGGTCATTTCTGAAACGAAAAAGAACACAAAAAATCAACAATAGTAAATACTGGTTTAAGTGCTGCGACTTTAGAGACAGCGAGACAGTAATAAGGAAGTCGAAAAATCATAAAATAAGTGAAAAACTTTCTAGCTGATTTATAACCTCTGTCCTACTTGCAAGTGTGTATGTAAATCATTGTGTTTTATGTGGTATTAAGTCTTAACAAGAAAACAACCAATATGGAGATGTCTATTAAAATGCGGCATTAAATAAATAAATAAATGCCATAGGTGAAATTTTTGGTTAATGTGTCCATTTTGCACTTTTTCATTCATGTAATTATGAAATTTCGTTAGTAGGGGTTTCATAATATGGCCGATCTTCAAGTGGTATTTACGTTGTTGTCAGATCTTCCGTTTTTCCGAAAATATAGCGAATTTTGTTATTCTATGTACAGGGTGTTTCGCATAAGTATCGACACAGAACAGGTGCGTGTTGGACACCCCAAAATATGATGGGTTAACGCAATTTACCTCTATACCAAGTTGAACCCCTAATTAGTTACGGAAGCATAAAGTGCAGCCAAGTTTACTTAATTTTTGTTATTATGTAGATATTATTATTAGTTTTAATTGTGTTTTCATTTATATCGATTTTATTAATAAATAATTTGCTATTTGTTCAATTTAATTTCAAAATGCATGGCCAACTAAAGTTTCAAGTAATTTTTGTATTAACATTGTCATAATGCATTGATTTAAGTTTTCTCGTTTTCTCGAAAAATAATAAGTTTATTAAAAAATAAGACAGTAAAAAGTTTTAAAATAAAATTTTGCATAAAATGAAATTAAAATTTTAAAAATCGGCAGATGGACAAAAAAGTTCTGTACAGTTATAAGGGTGGGTTACCCCAAAACCACCCCTTAAAATATTTCAATTAATTCTTATTCACCTTCAAAATAAGACTTGTGAAACGCCTAAATAATTTACCAAATATAGATTTTTTAGGTTAAACGGTTGCAGATATTAAATTTTTTCGAAATTTATGGCCCCACTTTAGGCTTCCGTAACTCCTTAAGGATACAACTTGGTATAGAGGTAAATTGCGTTAAATCATCATATTTTAGGGTGCCCAACACGCTTCTGTTCTGTGTCGGTACTTATGCGGAACACCATGTATTTTATGATTTTTAAATTGCCTGAATATTTTTCATATACTATTCTCAAAATAAAAGTAATCATTTCCGACATATGCTACATTTTGTTATATTTCCCAAATTTAATATTAGAATACATCAAGATGGCTATGATTGCAACAATACTTTTGTCAACTTTGACTTTTCACACATCATTTAATTGTTGGTGTTTATCGAAAGTGAAAATGAATTATTTGAATGAAACAGAACAAATTTAAATGTTAATGATCTTATGATATGGTGAAATGCAACAAGAAACTCTTAATAACTTTAATGCTTTATATCCATTCAGAAATGGCATAACAAGGTTTACTGTAAATTGGTCAGAACGTATAACGTAACCGACGCAGTAACGCAGATTTACCTAAACCAAGGAGCATAAAAAAATGCAACAACTGAAGACAAATCGTTACATGTCTGCATTATGTTAGAAGAACATATTCACTCTTGAGTAGCAAAATAACTAGGGAATTTGATATTTCACAAAGATCTGTTTTACGAAGTAACACATTTCACCCATACTAAGTAAGATTAGTCCAAGAGTTGGCAGATGATGATTTTGATAGACGTATAGACGTTTGCTGAAACAATAATGGGAAAAAAGTTACGATTAAAACGATCCACATTTTTTAAATAATAGATCTGTAAATAATCTTCGGTGGATGCGTAAATCCCACATTCAATGTCCACAAAATTTTGATGTTTCGATTAGAATATTAGGCACTAAAATAATTGGTCAGACTTATTTGGAGTTGGTACAAAACAGTATAATTCCTGAGTAAACTCAGTAATTTTCCAACCCACATTTTCCATTACATTTTAATTTAATTACATTCTTATAACTTTTAGACAATAATACCCCAAACAAGGATGGTATGCATTCTGTTTGGGTGGTTCAAATAATTTGTGTTCTTGAAGATGGACTGGAAGACGTGTTTATATCGAGTGGTCCCCATTATAGCCTGATAGAATCCTTAATATTATTTCCTCTGCGGTAATTTAAAAAACACAGTTTATGAATCAAAACCTGCCAATATTAAAGAATTAAAATACGGAATCATCGCATTTAAAAAACAGTTTACCAAACAATCGTAAATCTTGTAAGCCAATGTATTTAAAAAAGGCTATAAGGAAGTGTAAAGGGAGGGAGTTGACATAACGTTTATACTGGAAAAATATTCTATGTTTTAAACTTTTAATTTAGACAAAAAAAATTAAATTAAATAAAAAGCAGCATACCATTTATTTGTTATGTATAACCCAAGAAAATGATGATAAGAGACATTTTTGAGTCAACAAGTTCATATTACGTTATTATGTAGACCACAAATGGGTAACATAAAAAATGATTTCAACACAAATAAATACCAAAGAACCACTATCCTATCCACATCCTGTTATTAGAGTCTTGAGGATGACCTCATAGAGACAAAAATATTGACTTATGGTAAATGTATTACTCTTATAATCAAATTAAAAAACCAAATAACTGTGGGACCACAAATTGCAGATAACTTTTTCTCGTTAAAGTTGACATTGAATACAAACTATAAAATGATGCAAAATTTTGCTATTTATTAACCACTTTGGATCAATTTATCGACATATCAATTATTAAGTTAAAGTCGGTTCCAATTCTAATTTAAATTTGAGGCCACAAGTCCTCTATTCGCTGTTCTTTATGTGACAAGCACAAAGACCTTTGGAGAGTAAAAGTTAGGTAGCAAGGTCGAAATTCAATTGGGTTCCTTCGAAATTTATTCGTCAAGCCGCAGACTAATTTTTGAGAACTTTAATAAGTGGAGGTGAACATATTGAATTCTAAATTAAGCGTAGTTTAGGTGCTGGGCTTGAAATGTTTAGAAAATTACAGAGGCAACATAAAAAATATTTTATACATTTTTTTGACTAAGAAAAATAGATACTTCCGACTTAGAATTGAGAATTATAAATTATTCCGGTTTAGACTAAATAAATAGAAATGTTATCGTTTGCGATGTTTTTAAAGTTTTTACAAAAAAGCGTTTAAAAAAGTTGTCTGTACCGAAAACGAATACCAACTTAAAAATAAACTTGGAAATAAACATATAAACAGAGGGTGAGTTGGGTATATTACATTTATAACCAATTTTTAGAATTGTACCGGTTTGTCAAATAAAATGAAGTAAAAGCAGTACTGAAAAATCGTTTGATATATTACTTTCAAGCTTTTATGACGACCATTAGAAGATATAACACCATAACCAGCTATGAAAGAGGATTTCTCTATTATTTTACTAACGAACCTGTAACTAATATACTTGAATATTAATCGTGAGAACATTATATTTTTTTGTTTCTTTCAGAATAAAGTGGTATAGCAGGGGCAGAAGTTGGAAAGGCTTTTGGTAGGTAGAGAGGGGGCAAATGTCAAACCACGTCGGACGGTTTCGAGAATTTCATAGTAATGTTAACCTGCCAGTGTCGTTTCACAGAATAAGGGGTATATTCTGTCACAATTCCTTTATATTATAACGGCCGTTAAAATATTGGCGGCCTTTAGAAATATTTTCGTATTCGTTAATTTACTTCTGTCATTATTTAAACGAATTTCTTTATGGTGTATTTTAATGTATTTTAAAGGAATCCGTTTAAATAATGACAGGAGTAATTTAGTAAATACGAAAATATTTTTAAAGGCTTCCAATATTTTAACGGCCATAAAAATATAAAGGAATTGTTACAGACTAAACCCCTAAGTAATTTTAAATTGTTACCGGCGGCACCGGACAATCACATGTATTTATGGATTATAAATAATTATTGAACATGTATTATAATATCCGAATCATAATTCTACAAAATTTTAACAGCTATTTACAATTAATTAAACTATTTAGTCGAAATTGTTATTGACATCTATAAAATGATTTTGTACGCCAATGTATCGCGTCCAATTCGGTTAGATCCGCCGCAAACCTGTCAATTTATGTGAATAAAGTGGGAGAACTAGCAAAGGCCTTCCCAATTTTTGCCCCTGCTGTAGGAGAATATGGAACGTTCTTCTTTTGTTATTTAAATGTTGAAAACTCCGGTTCTCGGTCTCATTAAAATGATATCTCTTAATCTTTTACATTATTTTGTCATACAAGCTGTCTCTATATATCAGCTTCACTGTAAGAGCTGGAGAACACTATGTTTGAAAACTCAACAAATATTACTGTAGATATTAAAAATTTTAATTGGCGCCGTATACTTTTTTTTCACAAAGAGAAAGACGACAAAATGTCTAAGATGTCGGTAAAAACCGTAACATGGTAACTTTTTTTGTAGGAGAATCAACAGAAGCAATGTAATTTTCAGGAAATATACCCTTAATAAAAGCCAACACTGACCTTAATAAATTAATTTTATTATAATAATATGTTATATTTCAACTATAATATATCAAAAGTAACAGTTATCCTATTAATGTTTTTGTATTACCAAGAAGGCGTTGAAAAAAAAACATTTTCCTGATATCACTAGTTTTGGGATACATTTATTATGATTTTTTTTTGAAATGTCTATTCTGTCTTCCTAAGCCAAAAATCGGTATCTCAGTTAAAGCGAGTTTCGAGAAAATACACATTTTCTAGAAGGTCTTGTTTCGTATATGGATATGCAGCCATTTAGCTTAGTTATAATAATTAGTTCATCTGATGCGAAATTTTTCAAGCTATCATCTGATGCGTTAAAAAAAAGAAAAGTATTTTTGAGATACCGCTTTTTGGCTTAGGAGGGCAGTATTACTGTTTTTGTATTAACAAGAAGGCGTTGAAACCAAAAGATATAATGTCATCAAATAC